TTAGGCTGGATGGTATCAATTGACCTATTTGCAAGTTTGCTGATTCTTTCTTCTGTCAGCCCACATCTACTGTCGAAGCCCTCTACTGACATTTCATTTCAGTTATGGTACTTTGCATCTCCAGAATTTTTATTTGGTTCTTTAAAAAATACTTTTTATCAGTTCACTGATAATCTCCAAGGACATGATTCTTATGCTTTCCTTTATTTCTTCAAACATGGTTTCCTTTAGTTTTTTGAACATATTTATAATAACCAATATTACATCTCTGTCTAGTAATTACATCTGGGATTCCTCAGGGACAGTTTCTATTGACTGCACTGGTTCCTTTTTTATTGCCATAATTTCCTGTCGTTTAATTTTTTGTTAAAAGTTGGACATTTAAACTAATCTAACATGGCTACTCTGGAAATCAGACCTCTCTTCTCCTTTCCAGGATTTGCTGTTGTTGCTGTTTAGTGTTGTTGCTCTCTGTTGAGGGCCTTTCCTGGACTCTTTAAAGTGTTTATTTTTTGTCATTTGCAGCTACTGAATTCTCTGCTTGCTTAGCTTAGTGGTCAGTTTAGACAGAGATTTCCTTTGATGTCTTGATCCAATGTCTCCCACTCTGTGCTGGTGGGCTCTTTGTGTGTGCTGCAACACACCTTCAGCGTTCTACCAGGCTATAGCTCTGCCTCTGACTTCATTTCCTGTTTGAACAATCTCAAGGTCAGCCAGAGGTGAGGGTGAGAGACTGAGGCTCTTAGAGAGGTTCTTCCTGGACATATATACAGCCCTGCACATGCATATGCCTTCTAGATACCGAAGAATAAGCTGGAGCTTTTCAAAGCTCCTTTGAGCATCTCATTCCCTATATTTTTATTGTAAGTTTTCCAGTCATCCACTGGTGTCATCACCTCAAGCAGCTTCAATGTGAACAATTGCTGCTGATTATTTTTGTTAAGCACCCTGGGGATAGGCCTCTTCCTTCTGAGCAAGCTGTGCATCAGGTCACCGAAAGACAAGCCTTGGGTATGGTGCTTTTCCATGGAGCTGCCAGACAAGTTCAAATAGTGACAATTCTCTGGGGATGAGCATTTGCAAGCTTCATTCTGTTATGCTTCCTCCAGTGGCTTCTCGTTTTCACAAACAAGTACTGCGGTTGTGACATTGCTGGGGGTTTTTTTGTTGTTGTTGTTTTGTTTGTTTTTCAGATAGTCTAGTTCTTTTGCCCAGGCTGAAGTGCAGTGGCGTGATCTCAGCTTCACTGCAACCTCTGCCTCCTGTGTTCAAGCGATTCATGTGCCTCAACCTTTGAGTAGCTGGGACTACAGGTGTGCACCACCTCACCTGGCTAATTTTTGTATTTTCAGTAGAGATGGGGTTTCACCACGTTGGCTAGGCTGGTCTCAAACTCCTGGCCTCAAACAATCCACCCGCCTCGGCCTCCCAAAGTGCCAGGATTATAGGTATGCACCGTGCTTGGTTTTTAAGGCTGGTTTTTAAGGCCACCATGGAGCCTGAGAGAGGAGAAAATTAAAATGCTACAAATCTTACAGTTCTTATTAACAGCAAGATTCAGCCATTTTCTCAATAAACATTTCTTGGGTTGTTGCAAAACTTTTGTTCGTTTCCAGACTTCTGAAAAGGTCAGTCTTCCCCATTGTTTTTGCTCCTTTATGGAGATCTTCAGAGGTCCTCGCCCCACCATTCCAGAAGTGCTTCATCCACTGGATTTTTAGAAAAAATTTCTTGGGGTCAGGGCAGATAAAGTACTCTAGCACTGAAACTGCTGATCCAAGGCTAGCAGCTGTGGAGATCTGGTGAGTGCTTCCATTTGTCTCTGTAGGTTTATGTAGGCATTGGCCAAGCAGTCTTCTGTGTTCTTCATTTGTCTGCAAGGACCTCTTTCTTTTGCCCTCCTCTCCTCCTTCCCATCAGTAAGCATTTATAGACTATCTCCTGAGTCGCAGCCCAACCCAGCCCCTGTCCTGAGGAGCCCATGCTTTGGTGGAGAAGCAGGACAAGTCTGAAGACCAGGCCAACACCCCAGTGTGGGAAGCGCTGAGAGGGAGGGAGTTATCTAGGGCTGCCAGAGCAGGGGAGGGTGATGGACACTCTTGGGGAAAGGAGAGTCTGGGAGGAGAGAGGATCCTGCCCAAAGCCCTTAGAAAGAAAGAGGATCCCAGAGCACAGGCGCAGTTCTGAGATTCTCCAGGTAAGAAACCAGCCAGGGGAAGGTGAGAAATCCATTCCATTTTGAATAGAGACAGAGAAACACTGCAGGACTGTGGAGCTCCTACTGGGAGCTAGGGAGGCTCCTGCCCTGAGGCAGGCAGGATCACCCTGCAGCACCTCAGGAAGGCACCCCAGCCAGGTACTGCCCCACTTGGCAAAAAGAGCCTTTCTCTGGCAGGTACGGTGGCTCACGCCTACAATCCCAGCACTTTGGGAGGCCAAGGCAGGTAGATCACTTGAGGCCAGGAGTTCGAGACCAGCCTGGTCAACATGGTGAAATCCTGTCTCTACTAAAAATACAAAAATTAGCTGAGCTTGGTGATGCATGCCGTAATCTAGCTACTCAAGTGGCTGAGGTAAGTGAATTGCTTGAATCTGGGGTGCAGAGGCTGCTGTGAGCTGAGATCGCGCCACTGCACTCCAGCCTGAGTGACAGAGCAACTCTGTCTCAAAAAAAAAAAAAAAAAAAAAAAAGCCTTTCTCCCAGGGACAAGACCGCTTTACACCGGGGAAGGCAGGAAATCCAGGATGTGCATATGTGTGTAACTATCTAGAAACAAATACCAGTCACAGCCAAGGCCAATCAGGGAGGCACATCTGCTCTGTGTAGCTCACTCTGTTTTTGGACAGGCAGAGAATAGGGACGCCACACTGGAAAAACAATGAGGGGGAGAGATCCTACCCACTCCTTGCTGAGCAGCTGCCTCAAGCAAGGTGCTGCGCCCCTTGGAACCTCAGTTTCCTCATCAGCAAGTAGGTATACTAACGTCTTCTTATCCTGCAGCTCTCTGAGGATCGCATGAGATAAAGGACTTGAAAGCACCCAGCAAATGGTCAGGGGCCCAGTGAGTCTGTGTTTCCTTGACTTTGAGGTTGTTGTAAACTTGAGTCATGTTTTAAATGGATTTCGGAGTAAGCTGAATAATAATATACTTTGTCCTAAAAAGGTGACTCTGTATTCATTTGGTGTGGGCAGGGGCGGGACTTGGCGTGAGCAGGGGAGGGATCGAAGATACAGTTCCTTCCAAAAAGCATGTCAGGGACTTACAATAAAAGGCAATAAAACCTTTTACGAGGGTAGAAAATAAGAACTGAGTAATGAAGCGTGTATTTGGCAGGGTATGGGGTGATTACACACAGAAGCCAGGCTAAAGGAAGCTCAACCCGTTGAACTCAAACAGGCTTCAGCTTCCAGAAGTCAAGGCAAAAAGAGACATGAAGGGTGCTTCCTGTCGGTGAGCGCTAAGGAGTTTATCGGCAGGGCCTCTGCCTAAGGAGCTCGACACTGCAAACCCAGCAGAGAAAGGAGGCAGAAAGCCTGTGCCCAGCTCCAGGGACAAGAGTCTGAGGCCTGGAGCAAACCTGCCCCTGCCTCCCCTTGGGCCCAGTTGGCCTGGGGTCCTCTTGGTGGTGGGCTGGCCCAGCTTCGTCACCATGGCCACCTTGTGAAGTTGCTTAGGGGCTGGGCACTCATTCTTTCGCTATCCCCTGCATTTACAGGCCTGGGGACTGCTTGTGCTGAGTGTGGGGTGATACCTCTCAGCCAAAACAGTTAGAGGCTTTTTGGAGAAGATGATTGAGCGAGGCTTGAAGGACAAAGGGTAATAATCTTGGGTGAGTCCAGGTAAAGGAACCCTTCTGGGTGCGGGAGGATGTGAGTAATGGCTCAGAAGCTGGAGGGCCCTGGACATCCATGGTGAGGCTGGGGGTGGTGGCATGGCGTGGGGGGTGGTGAGAGCTACAGGAGGCTGTGGTAGTGAGAACAGAGAAGAGGACCCGGGTCCGAGATGTACGGAGGAGGAAGCTCAAGGGGACTTGGCGTGGGCGAGGGGAGGGATGGAGGATGCAGCCAGGTGTCTACACAGGGAAGCAGGTGGCCAGATGCCTCCTCCCTACAATGGGGAAGCCCGGGGAAGAAGGCTAGGGGAGATGCTGGCTTCAGCAGGGCAATCTCCAACCTCGGGGACCCAGAGGAGAGAATGTAGCTGGAGGCAGGGAGAGGACCTGGTCAGTGTCACAGGCATGGGAGACTGTGGGGGGACAGGAGAAGGGAGGAGAGGAGGGGAGGGGAGAGGAGGGAGGGAAGGGGAGGGGGCCAAGGGAGATTCATTCACAGGGCAGGTGCGGGGGAGTGGCCAACGGTGGGGGTCAAGAAAGAGAAAGACAGCAAAGCGTCCAATGTGGCCATCAGAGGTCAGCGTGACTAGTCAAGATGGCGTCAGAGAGGCTTAGGGAAGAGTCCCTGGACAACGGGGGCAAACTGCTGGGGGCTGGGCAGAGGGAGTTCCGGGTGAAACACAGACAGCAGGAAGGAAGGGCAGTGAATACAGGTGCCTCCGAGGGCTGCAGGGAAGAGAGGTGGAGGAGTCTCTTCCTGGCGGCTCTGCTAAGGAAGGACAGGCCACGTCTTGGGAGGGATGAAACCCACAGGGGAATCTTGTTGTGTCGAAGGACCCATGGGGGAAGCCATGGCTGGCAGAGTCATCACCTTCTGCCTCAGAGAGGGGGGCTGCTTTGGAGTGGGAGGCTAGTGGCCGAAGTGTTCAAGGCCAACAATGAGATTCGGGGGATGGCTGGGGGCAGAGGGGACAGTCCTGGAACTCTGAATGCCAACAAGCCAGGGAAAGGCAGTCCTGGGTGCTGTGACGTCCGGAAACAGCAGCTGAACTTGCAAAGGGGAGGAGCACCTGCCCCGGGCCGAGGCCTCACTCAGGGTGGGGAGCAGGTGGTCAGGCCCTGCAGCCAGAACCTCGGCTCAGGAGCTGAGAAAACCTGGGACTCACCAGGGTCGCCTCTTCTCCCAGGCTTGCCGCGCCGTCCAGGGGGCCCTAGACGGGAAAACAAGGACGCATTCAGTGAGAAGGGAAGCCAGTGGGCTTGGCTGCATGGGGCATGCCCAGCCCACCCAGCCCACCCACACGTCTGCCTGCAACAGCTTTCTGGGAGTGTCCTGCCCGAGGGGGTCTGCAGCAGTGGAGGGGAGATGCGTGGGAGAAACCCCCTCCTTCTGCCACTACCTCGCCCGTTCTGCCAACCCCCTTCCCCAGGTGACCGCATCCCTCGTGTCCCACACACTCATTCTGTTATTCAGTCATCAGTCCACTTAGCTATTCCTAAGCCCTCCTGCAATCACAGAGATTTGCCGCTGAGAAACTTCAGACTTAGGAGGAAAGTAAGGGTGGAGTTATCTTAGGAAGGCCCTGACAAATACTTCTTAATATTCACTCAAGTAAAACAACAAAGCCAGCACAACAAAGAGGCCGTTCCAGCTGCGCAGTGCTGAAATTTGGTCATGACAGGCACCACGCTATCCGGCTGCAGTCCTCCACCACTCCCAGGGGCCTCCAGCTTCTCCTTCCCCAGAGCCAGGAGCTGTTCAGCCGCCCGCTGGGCTTCCTTTCCACATCTGTCCTCCATCTGTGCACTGTAAGCCCTTCTGAATTTACCGTGCAGACCCCCCCACCTCTGCCTCTAGCCCTCTGCCCAAGTCAGACCCTGAGACCAGAGTGACCTCAATGCTGAAGGAGATGCCTTGGCTCTGGCCGTGGGAGCAGAGGTCTGAGGCCTCCCTCTCCCTCCCCTCACCTCTGGCATTCACTGCAATCCTTCCTGGAACCCCTTCTCGCCCCATTTCAGTGAAGTTGGGTACAGGTACAAGATTGCAATCTGTAAATGGCATCTGATACATCTTGTTCAACCACTGCACGCCAGGCTCTGGGCTGGACCTGGAGGTGACAGTGGGACGGGTTGTGACCCTAAGATAAGGTGCTGCCCTTTCCTGCAAAAGCCAACCTCAAACCCCCTCAAGAGTTCTCAGAACAACCATGAAGGAGATGCAGGAGGCTGGCCCCAATCGCATCTGTGCTGGACGGTTCATGGAAAAATGAGTGTGGGTGTCCATGTGTAACTGTGTGAGTGTGTCTGTGTGTGTCTCTATGTATGCATGTCTGTGTCTCTGTGTATGTCTCTCTGTGTGTGTGTCTTGTGTGTGCATGTGTGTGTGTCTCTGTGTTTCTGTGTTTGTCTGTGTGTCTTGTGTGTCTCTGTTTCTGTGTGTTTGTGTGTGTCTGTGTGTCTTGTGTGTGCATGTGTGTGTCTCTGTTTCTGTGTGTGTGTTTGTGTGTATCTGTATGTCTTGTGTGTGCATGTGTGTGTATGTCTCTGGGTTTCTGTGTGTCTGTCTGTGTGCGTCTGTGTGTCATGTGTGCATGTGTTTCTGTGTGTGTCTGTGTGTGTCTGCATGTCTTGTGTGTGCGTGTGTGCGTGTGTGTCTCTGTGTTTCTGTGTTTCTGTGTGTCTGTGTGTGTTTGTGTGTCTGTGTCGTGTGTGCGTGTGTGTGTGTACATGTGTCTCTTTTCCTACTCCCCAATTTTTGTCAGGTGGTCATGCCCATTTGTACCCCCCTGCCCAGGAATTGAAACGGTGCAGAAAAGCAGAAGCAGTGCAGGATCGGGGGTGCTTCCTGGCTTTTGTTAAGGGAAGGCGAGGAGGGAGGGCCAGCCTCTGAGAACAGTGAGAGCGGTGAGATCCCTTCTGGTGGAGAGGGCCCCTCAGTGCTACCCTAGACGCCTAAAGCTTTGCAGGCCCAGGGGTGATGCGAGAATGAATTTCTTGCCAGCCTCATGGACTGGGGACTTGAAGTCAGGATGGTTAGACAAAATTTAAAAATGAAAAACGTGTTACTTCTTGCTCTCCTGAGTTGTAAGGGCAAAAACCCATGCCAGTGACGTAGGCCTTGGTTTTCTCCCATGGTGGACACAGACCTTGAGTTGGGGTTTGTGCTGGAGTTGCCAGGGGCTGTGTTGACTTGGCGAGGCCAGGATTCTGGGACCCCCCAGAACAGAAGAGTTCCTCAGACTGCGTGGGTTACAGCTTAAGAGCCACCTCCAGGACCACGCTTTCGGCCGAGGCCTGCGACACGCACACTGCACAGCCGATCACCTTCCTATCTCCACATGCTTGTCCCACCAGCATCTCAGACCCGTTGTGGCCCAAACAACTGCCTTGATCTCCCCCTAGTGCCCTGCATGGGGCTGGCGGTGCTGGGAACCTCTGGAGACAGTCACACGAGATGACCCAGCCCTGGTTATTAACTAAGACCCAGGTCTGGGGGGGCAGGTCAGCACTCCGGTCGCCTTTCCTTCTCTTTGAGCCTGTTTTCAATAAGAGCGAAGTATGGGAATGGGAACCTCCCGACACTCGGCACTGCGTTCCTCTCCTCTGGCTGTAGGAGGAATAGGAGGAAGGCCCAGGGGCCACCCACAAAGCTTCGGGACTCCTGCCAGGCCTCAGGTCGTGCTCAGCTCAGTGAAGCCGCTGGCCCCAGACCCCGGGCAGAGTGTGGGGCACGGCAGGAAAGGGGCCGTGAATGGGGAAAGAAGCCAGGCTCTGCTAGACCTGAAGCAAATGCAGCACTGTGCTTTCCTGATGGGCATTGCTGGGTACGACTAGGAAGTTCTCTGCCTGGGTAACTGAAGCCAGATGAGGACATTTGCCTGCGTTGGGGCAGCTGAACTAATGGATTTGTCTGGTGGTTCTCCTGGGTGGCATGGTTAGGCAGAGGCCAACAGGGAGGGATGCCAGCAGGGTGGGCAGCTGCTGGGGCAGGACTGGGATGTTGCTGAGCATGCAGGGCCTGTGAGCTGCAGGCAGGGCAGGCTGGATGTGGCCCCAACTGAAAGGGCCCACGTGGAGGGAGAGAATGAAGCTGCTTGTGTGCACTTCTTAGGGCTGATCCTAACCAGGCACAGGGTGCAGATGGACACCTGGCCTACCCTTTATTCTGAGCTCTGTATCTAAATGTCCAACTCCATGGGGAGGCACCGCTTCCAAACTCAAACTCGCCTCCCAGCTTCCTCCGCACCCCCTGTCTCCCTTGCTACCTACGTGCAGGTCCCAGCAGCACCCAAGCAGCCAGGCCAGAGACCGCTGGGCATCACCCTGCCCCAGCCCCCAGCCTGGACCCCTTCCTTTCCGGCATCAGGCAAACGCTGCCCCCGTACCCAGTTCCCTGCACTGCCACTCGCCCTTTTTGCTGTGCTCGATTCTGCCTCCCGCAGTATGCACTCTTCGTCTCAGGCAGCTCTGTGTCCCCAACCCTCACTGCAGGACAGGACCAAGTGACTGTGTTCAGGGGATGGAGGAGGGAGGGAGGGAGCAGACAGGCAGGGAGGCCTCAGGTCTCCTCACTGCTCCTGGCATTCTCCTGAAAAGACTGCAAGCCCAGCAAGCCCCAGAGCTTAGGAGAGACAGAGGGCCACATGGTGTGATGATCAGAGGCCAGTGAGACAGGGAGTGCCTTCCACCCTTCCTCCTGGACGGCGAGAAGACAGGTGGTGAGGCCCTGAAAGAGGGCGAGCGTGCCGGAGCTGGGCTCCACTCTAAACGTGGGCTCCTATTTTGCTGCTTTCACCAACACGGAGGCCAGGTGCGCTTGGGGACTGGATTGTGGGAGCCGCTGGGAGGGGAGGTGGGACAGATGGTCCTTCCTGAGTCTCAACAACCCTCAGGTGCTGAGAGCCTGCCATGGGCAGCCACCTGCATTCAGCATCTACTGGATGCCAGGCCGGCTACTCACCCAGCAAGCACGAACTCGGGACCTTTTCCTCCAGGTCTCCCCGTGCCCACCCAGCAGGCTCACCTTCTGCCTCACAGTCCTCTGAAGAAGGTGCTAGAGCTCCCTCTGCGGAGGAGAACTCTGGGGCTAAGCCAGGTGAAGGGACCTGCTAAGGCTGTGTTACCAGAGCCTCCTGGAGCCCTTCATAGTCTGTGGCTCCTAAGTGTAAGGACAGTTGTGCCCTGCATGCTGGCCACAGGGCAGGTGGCCTTGGAGACCACGGAGGCTGCTCCCTGGGCTTGTGGCCCCTTTGCTGGGGCTGGCTGTGCCCCAGGGTATCTGGGCCTGGCGTGGAGCAGATTGCCCCAGCCCCTGGGAGAGTAGAGCCAGCTTGGTTGCAGCTAAGACCTGGCTCCCACAAGCAAAAGCAGGCCTCTGGCCAGGCGGTTGGCCCCAGAGTTTTCTCTCATTTCTTTTTTTTTTCTTCCTTTCTACAAGTAGAAGAACCTCTCCTGCTGCTGCCTGAGACTCAGACACTCAGGAAGGCACCGAGAGTCTCTCCTGATGGATCTGCTCTTATGAAGAGGGGGAAACTGAGGCTGCAAGGGATAGGGCAGGTCTTGCCCAAGGATGCTTCTGGAAAAACTGTCCCAGCTGGAGGGTCTAGTGCTGAGGACCACCTTGGGCTGGAAGAAGGCCATTGTCCCCCAGTTTGCACAGGACCCACATAGCTCTGAGCGAGGGGCTGGCTGCTGGGGAGCGATGGTATGTTACAGTGGGTGCCACCATAGTGGCATCTGCAATACTTCCTTTCAGAGGTTGTGGTGAGGGGTGTGGGGTGTGCAAGAGCAGGAGGGAAGCACCTGGCTGGTGGGGAAGCTGTGTCTTCTGAGCAACTTACTCAACCTCATTGAACCTTAGGGTTTCCAACCCGGGGGGATAGAGGTTTGGGGGTGGTGGCAACTAGACCTGCCTTGCAGAATCATTAACCAGATGAGCTGGCAGCAGACACACCAGCCTGGGGTACAAAAGGGGTGCTTATTTGGGATCCCAAGATGTAACTGGATGCAGGGCCCTCTGGGCCATTATAATGTGGGGCTTTAATATGAGTGAGTTCTTTTCTTTTTGTGTGTGTGTTAGAGTCTCACTCTGTCGCCCAGGCTGTAGAGTGGCATGATCACAGCTCACTACAGCTTCAAACTTCTGGGCTCAAGCGATCATCTCGCCTTGGCCTCCCAAAGTGTTGGGATTACAGGCCTGAGCCACTGCATA